TATCATTTTCGCTTGTCCATTTATCAAAATCATTTTTAAAATGTATTGAGATACACGGTTTGCACCACCAATCATCAAGATTATATTTTTCATTGCATTCTAGGCATATTTCACACATTTTCTATTCGCTTACATTACGCAAGATGGACGTTTTTTTTTTTAATTAAAAAAAAATACAAAAATAAATTTGTGTATCAATAAGTTTTCTATTTATCATTTTTACTATTCCTTAAATATATTTGTGTCGTACAACATGACCGAAATTTGCAACTTTAGAAATTTTCTAGTTAAACAGGTATAAATTAAATTTCACATTAAAAATTATTAAATATGTGACATCTAGGTTTAGCAATTTGTATTTCATCTTGTGTCACAATTCCATGACATTTAACGTTGCGTTATCGTATTTTATTTTTAATTAACTTTGTTGTATTTAGTGATGATGATGCTAATTTAAGTATTTTAGAATATATTAGGGTATAATTATATTTACATTTCTAAAGTGAAACTGATGAACAATTAATCGGCATAATGAATCAATTAAATCCAAGTAACCTGATTTGTCTGATAAACGATCTTCATCATCCTCGGAAGATAAAGAATCTCTTCGTATGAAATTTAATTGAAATTTATTTAAGATGTAAAATTTAACAGATTTAATTTTGATATTGGATTCTTTTTTAATCAATTTAGCATTAATCATAATTTAATTAGGATTATTGGTGAGAATGATGAGAATGATAATATCAATGATAATTTTCTTAACAACAAATTTGATAAATAAGAAGGGAAAGAGAAGGGGGAGAGAAAAGATTATCAATTGATAAAATAGAATTGTAAATTTCGGTCGATTATATTGTAATTATATATATTTAAATATTTTATATATTTATATTATTTGATCAAGATTAATTTAATACTTCTTATTATTAGAATGTGTGATATATTACTTCACTTTCAAGGCGATATTCATGTATAGTGCGTGGAAAGGTATGTGTGGGAATGGGTGTGGTGTGATGTTTTTATGGAATAATATGATTTATTTATTCTATTTATTTGAATATATTTTTAATTATTTTGAGTAATTTATTTAATCAATTTAAAGAGTTTTTAATAAAATGATCAGTTATTGGATGAAAAGGAAATTATTATGGAATGAATTAATCAATAGATTCTAAATTTAGAAAAACTTATGATTAACTAATTGATGAGTTAGTTAATTAATTAATTAATTTACCTTGATATCTTCATAATATTTTTTATTTTTTATTTTTTTATTTTTTATTTTTTTATTTTTTATTTTTTTATTTTTTATTTTTTTATTTTTATTTTTTTTATTTTTGTTTTTTATTTGTTTTTTTCGAAAAATTATATATATGTTCATCACAATAATCGGTCACACTACACTGGCGTGTACAATTCAGGTATGCGCATAATGGGCAAACTATATTCTTAAATTTTGTGATACAGCTAATACAAATAACACTCAAGATTTTTCTAATGTTCTTTTTCTTCAAGTCGGATTGTCGGAAGAATTTTTTGATTTTATTGTTATGGTTAGCGTGATTATTTTTTTGATTACATTCTTGAACTGAAGATTTTAGATTATTGCATCCCATTTTTTTTTTTTCGGATATCCATAGTCTATTTGTTCGATCAGAATTGATGATTCTAACAAATATTCATGTAATTCCACTATTGCTACTTAGCAATATCATCATTTGGAATATTATCGTAGGTTCAATCAATAATAGGACCTTAGACATTGATGTTATATACCAAGCTTCGTGATGGTCCAAAGAAAATGCACTTGGTTCATATTGTCTACCCTGCAAATAAATATAATCTTGTACTGAACAATAATTCATAATAATTCATGTGATAAAATGGTAGAAATCTTTAGAATGTGTCCTCAGATAAAAAAAAGGATATAATTCCATTTATTTTTATTGATAATACAATTTAATTGGATATATTTATATTTTTTAATTACAAGGAATTCTTGAAAAATCAATATCTAATAGTTTTTTATTTTTTTTTTATTTGTAAATTTTTCGATATAATCGATTAGAAATTATTATATGATAGTGAATTAAATTGAAACATTGATTTCTAAATGTTCACTCACTGTAATACTGTATATTTATATTGATTAGTCTATAGCTGATTAGAGAATTGTTATATGATATTGAAACATTAATTTCAATAATTATGAATCTAAATACTCATTAACTATTTATGTTGATTAGTTTATGATTGATTAGAGAATTGTTACATGATATTGAATCAAGCTGAAACATTGATTTCAATAATTATGAATCTAAATACTCACTCACTGTAATATAATTTATAATGATTGGTTTATAATTGATTAGAGAATTGTTATATTATATTGAAACATAGTTACAAGTCTAATAATCACTTGCTATATTATGATTTATATTGATTAGCTTATAATTGATTAAAAAATTTTTATATGATATTTAATTAAATCGACACAATAGATAAATTAATTCATGATTCTCAACTATGATAGATTTCAAGATATTAAACAAATAGCAAAAGGTGGTTATGATACTATTTATTAAGCTAAATGGTTGATGGATAATTTTGATGGTATTACATATACAAATGAAGATTTTTTAAATGAGGTAAAGTAATATTTTAAATTATTTGAAAATATAATATATTAAAAAACGTTATTTGGATGGCAATTCTCCTGAGAACAAATTCATATCATCAACTACACTTTATGGAATTACGAAAGATCCAGAAACTCACGAATGTATGATGGTAGAATATTTCAAAGGTGGAAGTCTAATTATCGAAAAATCCCCAAAAAAAATTTATTTTGGAGTATTACTCTATATGGCTCTTGAAGTATTAAGTGGGACGATACAGATAAAATCTTGGGAGGACACAATCATTAAGCTTGGGATGCAAATGTTACCCAATGGTGCTTGGGTAGAAACAAAAGATAGATTTATTTTCTCATTGAAAAATGTTAATATAGAAAATTCAATTCTTAGCAGAGTAAAAGAACCTCAATTTGCATTTGTGAATTTGACAAAGTTCTCAAAAATCATTCGGTCGGTCTATGTTTTGGAGAGGATTTTGATTTGTTTTAGTCATAGTTCTGTTTATTTTAGATAAATATAAAAATAAATATGGCCATTGGGAAAACCTCATAACAACACCATCATATCATTATCACTTCTCAATTGTTGATTATTTAGAAATTCAACCTTTTGATATTTTTTTTTGAAATTGTACCAATATTTTTATTTATTGGGATAATTAAACTTGATATGTATGTACAACATATATTTCGTTCAAGTTTTTGACATTTATAAAAGGTATTGATATCATATGTGCGCAATAATTATTCTTTCTATATCATCTATATTTCCATCAACAAAATAATGCACAATACTAATCAATAATAATAATAAATTCAATATTGCATCCAGAATAAAAAAGTTAATTATTATTTTTTATTGGTTTTTTTTTTTGAGTGAGATACATCTCGATGAAAATACCTATAACGGTGTACAAATAAATGGTAAATTACAAATGTAAATTATTATTACTATTATATATATATATAAATGTATTTATATACACACATATTAATATATATTAAATTTGTCAAATTATAAATAATTTTTTGTCCGTTATTCGTTATTAGATTTTTATTATTATGATGATGATTAAATTCATCATCAGAAGAATCTATATAATTTGCTTCATCATCAGAATCAATAGGTATCGTTCCAACTCCCATTCAACTAATTAAATTTCCTATTGGACCAGGAAACCCCTGTTGAGCTTTAAAACTTTACAATACATTTGCAATTAATATTAACTTTTTTATTTAATTCATCTTCATCTTCATCTTTAATTTTCATTTTTTGTTATTAAGAATTTGATTTGATGAATGTATAAATGATTCAAATATTTTGGATGATGATAATTCATTACTTAAAGTTTGATAATAAGTTTCGATATCTATTCTCATCCTCATCCGATTTTTCATTCACTTCGTTTTCATCACCTTATCATCATTACCATCATGATCATCATCACTTTCTATTATATTCGCATTTTGCTATAGAATCACGGAAATTATTAAATTTATATATATATAATTAATTAACTTTTGAAAAATTTTCTAAATTCTGTTGTTGTTTTATTTTTACATTCGCCATTTCTCTCATTTCTCTATATTCATTCTTTATATTCTTCATCAGTTGCTTCATTAGCTTCAAAAAAATTTGAAGGATTAAAATTGATTTGACTATTTTTGTCAATTCATCAAATTCTCCATCTGAATAAAGTTCACTATATTTTTATTTAATTTATATAATATTTTAAAATAAATTAATAAATAAATTAAAATAATAAAATAAATAAATAAATAAATTAAATTAAATAAAAGATTAACTTACTCTAAAAATTCAGTTCTTTCGATACCCACGTTCTCATTATTGATTAAACTTCCAATTTATATATCATGTCTCTTAGAGCAAAGGTATTCAATTCTTCTTACTAGACTTTAACTGAAATATTAAAAAAATCAATTATTAAATTAATAGAATTAATAAATAAATAAATCAAGAAATGATGATTAAAAAATAAATTAGCACATAACAAACCTCTTTTTTCATTTCATCATAATCATTAAGATATTTTTAATTTTCATTATTTCCTTTAGATGATTCTTTAAGTAAATCATCCAATTGTTTAGGATCACCTTTCAAACAACGCTCATCATCTTCTTCAGTCAGATTAGTAATTAAAACTTCATCTAATATCATTTGTTGATCTAATATTTCATTAATCTGTTCCATTGGTAATTTTATCACTTCCATTTCATTATTATCACTAAATAAATTAATAAATTAATAAATCGTGAATAAATCAAATTACGAATAATATAAAACAATGTATAGCTTAAAAATTATTAAATTATATTTAACTGGAAATTTTAGAATTCTATTTTGTAAAAATTATTCATCTAATTTTCTTATACGCATTTGATCCTGGTAATAATCACGTGCTAATAAATTAGCATGAATATTCGCCATGCTGGATCAGAATCCTAAGGATAAGTCTATAATAAAAATAAGAATAATAATAATAATAGAAAACATTGGTAAATTTAATACACATGATTTTAGGAAATCTAGAATTTAAATTATTTATTTACCAACTTACTTCAATATTGATATCTTTAGATCTTGTTGGTAATTTAGTATATATTTGTCTAAACAAAGTATTTTAAATTCACATGCCTAAAAAAATATTTACACAAAAATATTTAAAAAAAATTATTAAAAATATATATAATAAATACCACAATAAATAATTTACCAATTTAATTCCCAATTCAGCAGCTGGATATTTATTTGTTATTCTAGATGGATTAAAATTAAGTTTTGGTAAATTTCACAGTAACAATTATTCATGCCTAAATTAAAATTAAAAATTATTAATATTATTTAATAAATACTGTTGTATGTAATAATATATAATAATAATATTGTAAAACTAAACATTTATAGAAAAAAATATACACACTTTCAAAGCAATTGGATCACGTGTACAAAATGCCTCAACAGCTGGAGCAATCGTTTGAGAATTATGATATCGAGCATGATGAATATTTTGTTTAATATTAATGGATGAGTATTAATGGATATTAATGGATATTAATTATTAATGAATATTTAAATATAATAAATAAATAATAAATAATAAAAATAAATAAATAAATAAATCAATTAATTACTCTCTTATTTTTTTGAAATACAGCAGATTGTATATTATCATCAGCTTTGGTAGAATCTTTCCGTGATAGGATGTGATAGGATGAATTCTTGTCGTTGTATGTTCTGGTGATGGTGATGATGATGACGAACTATGATGATAATGACGACGGTGATGATAATGACAATGATGATGATGAGGAATTATTAAATTTTGATATATGAAATCCTTTATTAATGAAAATATATTATTTTATTCCTTTAATTAAAATATAATGAAGAAAATAGAAACACATATTATATAGAGAGAGAGATTTGTGCGAAGAGAGGTGTGTAAAGAAAAAGAAAGAGATAGAAAAGGAAATAGTTTATAATTCTTACTCTATTTTCAGTATTACTAAGTTCCATCCAAGAAGGAATTTGCTTTGCTGCTTCAATTAATAAAAATTTTCCATCATAATCCGTAACTCTAAAATAATAATAATGAAACTAATTACTTTAGAAGAGAGAGAGAGGAAATGATAATAATGAAATAATAATAAAAATAATATCAAATAATAATAATTACTTAATCACAACAGAAGGAAATTTCTTGGAAATATAACGTTCTATCGTGCGGAGGTGGGTAACTCAGATCTATTATATTATAATATATGTTAAAAATGTTAATTGAATTTTAATCGAATAATTTCATTCGTTTGCTATTTATTATTATTAATATTTACCAGTTTCATTTTTTACAATTCTCAATCTAAATGATTTCTTTGTGTTAATATTATCTAAATTAAATTAATTATTAGATGGATATATTGGCAAAACAATATTTTCTTGAAGAAATTTTATGTACTCATTCTCGTCTAATGAATCATTTTTGTGTCTGGGAAGGTGGAGAAGGAAGAGATAAGAAACGTAATCTTCGGATGGTGGTGAATAATGAAATATAGAATTTATTTTTTTTTTAAAAAAATGACTATCAAATAATATTTTATACTTTTTTCGAAAAATCATCTTACATAATCAATCATAATTTTAAGCGATTTAATTGCGTTGCGTGAATCATTTCCTTTTTTCTCAAAGCATCACCGTATTTGGTGGATTGTGTTCCCTACTCTACCTTGTTTCCATTTTTCTCTATTTTTTCTAATTCTAATTCTAAATCTAAGGAGGTACCTCGACCTTTTAATCAAGAGGTTGAGGACGAGGAGAGGCAAAAAATACTCTGTAGAGCAAGGTCGGTTAGATAGTTGACTGGAATGACAGAAAAAATTAATCCAAGTTAATAACAAGTTATTAATGTTGGCAATCAAATTTTATATGATTGATCTACGGTATACTACTTATCGTTATTAAAAATTAAATTTAAAAATTTATTTGATTTGTAGTGAGTGGTAATTTCTTTAAATTTTTCATATTCTTTAATCATAGTTTGATATATGTACAATAAATGCAACTTTGAACCTCCTTTTTTTTACATTGCAATTGGTTTTTGTCATTTTTTTTATTTATTTATTAATAATAAAAAAAAATCATCCCAATTTAATTCCTCTTTATGTTCCTCATTTACTGTATTTGTACTCAATTCTAATGATAATGATGCTAGCTTGGGAATCTTTGGTCTTTAGAAATTTTTGATTTCCGTTTTTCTACTTCTCGATGTGTTGGTCAGCTATTTCAGTTGATTGTTGAGATCATGATGTTTCTTTTTTTCCCAAGCATATGCAGACTTTGAACTGAATGATGGTGGCAATTGATTTGGGTGATTTAACTATTTAATAATTCATTAAACAAAGTTAACAACCCTGCTATATCACAGAGGATTCCAGTTCATTTTTTTTTATTTTATAAAAAAAGTAATTTAAGTGCTATTAATTACATCGATCAATGTAACAAAAAATAATTCAATGCTGTGGGAATCGTTTTTTCTTAATCTCAGAGTGAAACCATTTATCTTCATATAGCTAAACATTTTTCTACATATAACTAAACATTTTCCTTCATATAACTTAACATTTTTTTTCATATTTCAAGGGGTTAGCATACAAGGATGATTTTATGTTACAGATAAATGTCAAGAATATAAAGGTGAAAATAATTAGAGTAAAAAAAATATCACAAATGACAACAAAATTACTTTGGTTTAACAGTTAAAGAATATTTCGATGAAAAGACATCTGGATCGATGTTATAAATTGTATCATTTTGCAACTGATAATATCTCTTCAAAAACTAGGTTTCATGAAGACCTCAAAATCTAACATACTTTAATTATGAAAATTTCATTTGCAAAAAATATAATAATTTAATTATTTAGTCAAGTAGTTTAGCTAATTGTGTGGAAAAATCTAAATCTAAAAGTGGGAGTGGGTTATTATTTAATTGATGATTTGATGATTAGTTTTAATTTCAATATTCACATAGGTAAAAAAAATTTTTTTTTTTAATAAATATTTCATTAGTTTATAAAATTATTTTGTAATGTAGCTATTGAATAATTTTTTAAAAGGAAAATACTATATTATATTTATCTCAATAACAGATTTTTTTTTCAAATTGGTTCATTCAGTTATTAATAATCAATAATTATTAATCACAACAACAATCATCCAGTAACAGTGTGATGAAGTTGCACATGCACCTAATCTAGTTAATAATAATAATAAGCAAGAGAGCTTTATTTGCTAAATAATATATTTATATTCATTACCTAATCAAAAACTATGGATATAATAATATATATCGATTTATATAATTTCTATCTAAAGAATATTTTTCAAATTTAAATCAAATGTTTGTCCATTACTTTTCTTGAATCAATCATCTAAATTTTTTTAAAATTATAATTTTATGTGAATGCATAACTTTTTTTTTACAAATATAATATGAAAAAGATGTTGTTTTGATTTATAAAACTTTTTTTTTGGATTTGATTTAGAAATTTGTAACTTGAATATAAATATTTACATAAGGAGTATAGGTTGTCAGTATAATATTATTAATGAGATTGTTTCTTGAGTATGATTGATCAACTGTTGAGTTAAGGAATATTGAAAGATAGTTATTTAAATTAGAATAGAATTTCTTGTTCATTTCACTTTGATATATCCTCAATTGAGATTTTCTATTCAAGTAGTTTTTAGTGAAATCATGTTATTGATTGAAGATAACAATATGAACAATTTTAAGAGTAGATGTCTCTTCTTTTGTTTTTGGAATATTCATTTATATTTTGTGCTACTCTGATTTTAAAAAAAGTAAATAATGGTTTTTACCTTATATTATTTTATTCTATTTTACCTTAATATTTTATTTTTAGAATAAATCTAACTGAGGATTAATTTTTTCATAATTTATTTCTATGGCTTTTTTTTTTATTTTTTGCAATAGCAAGGTGATATGAAGAATCCATCCACACTTTCCACCTACAATGATAGCTCCAATTATCTTCAGCTCTTTTATACCATTCAAAATAATTGTACATATGCTATATAAAAACAATTATCACTATCAAAACAATGGATGTGTCCACAGTTTAATACTTGATGTTTTCGTTTATCATTGATGCACAAATAATTTAATAAAGAATAATGACTAAAAATAAAATATTTAATTTCTTTGATAATTGATAATAATTTTTTTTTAGAGAAAGAAAGAAACAACATTGATATCATTGTTACCTCTTGCTGCTATCCCTGCAAACCTTCTAAGAGGAACTGGGCTAGTTGAGATTTGAGAAATTTTTCATTTTGTTATAATGAATTATTTTGATGATTAGACTCCAGTATTTTTGTTATTATTTCATATTAAAAAGTTTAAAATTTTAAAAAAAGTAATTTATGTTGACTCTGAATAGATTTTACTGCGCAATATTCATTTCATTTATGGAATTTAAATTGATATTTGCTATGGTATAGAATCAGCTATTAAACTTCAATTATTATTATTTTTTTATTTACTAAGCTAAATCTTTTTTATTTGTATTGTAAATTAAAATATAATTTATTTTCAGAACAACTCATAGCCATCATGTCATTTTTTTTATAATACCATATTCTAGATTATTTTAATGTGCATACATATATTAGCTAAATTAAAGTAGTTACTAGAATCATAATTCACATGAAATTTCTTTGACTAATGCTATACCATATATGTAAAAAAATAATTTTTAATACATGCTAAAATTTTTCCATTTTAAATCTGATGCACAAACAAACAATTAATCTCTATCCTATTGTTCTAGAAAAAAAATCCCTATTTGCTCTATGCAATTGAAGAATCAAAAAAAAATATTTTAATTGATGCAGTTAAATAATTAATACTAATAGATATTGTATACTATGAGACTCAATTACATCAGATATTTGTTTTTTATTTCAGTCTTCATTTTATAATATTGACAAAATCTGATTTGCAAGCAAATGCTAAGCATATATTTATCGATAAACCATTAACTTTAGTATCCATTTTGCAGGCTTATCATATCCATTAAAAATATTAAGCTATCATCTTATAGAGGCAAACTGATCAAGAGGTCCATATAGTAATGTAGAAACAGCAAAAGCATTGGTAGAAAAAGCAGTGACACGATTGGGAGAAGTAGTTCTTTCTTTTTTACATTATGTAAATTCTTGATTAGTCAGTTTTTCAAAATCTATTAATTTCCCATATTTGAAACATTTATTTACATTAAAATGTAACCTTTGAGACTTATTCTTTTCCTAGAATTTATGGTCTGATTCTCTAATATATATTATAAGAAGTGGAAAATTTAAAATGTAAAAAATTTTTTTTATAATGTTAACTTGCTCTTTTATATACTATATATACAGTCATCAATTATTTTTTATTATCATTGAATTATTATTCTGTGTTTTATTCTTTTTTTTTATATTTGCTTTAGCAGAAATGAAAACTTTGTTTGGTATTAAAAATCTATATAACTTTAAAGTTCTATGGGCAAGCTTACAATTACTTTATTAAAAATATATTCTATTTTTTAATGCTTGAATATTTACTAATTGAAGTTACTAACCTTGATGTGTAGGTAAGATATTGATCACTTGTTAATTTATGAGTGGCATTTGAAACTTATATTCTTTTGTTCAATTTTGTTCAATAAAATCTATAGTGGAAGTTTAACTATTTAACATGTTTGTTCAGTCAACAAAGAATTGAATTTTGAGACACTAGAGAATAATTTTTAAAATCGATTCTTTTAAGTATAACTTCTTTTCTTCTTATAATTTTTTGTTATTTGAAATGCTCAAGAAGAATTGATTATACTTAAGTTTGTCTATATGATGACAGTATAATTAATTTAAAAACTATTAAAAAAAAATTTAATATTTCATACTTTATTTAAATTAAATGGATCAAAATAAATAAAAATTTAAAATTTATTCTTTGTTAAAGAATGTGTGGAGAATATAAAGAATACATCTTATGATAAAATTATATCCTTTCTATGGATTTGCTGAAAGAGTATAAACTTTTTTTGCGTTTTAACAAAAATAAGTATCATTTCATGTTTGTTTGATTAAATTTAAAATCATTTGAAGCCATTAATGTTTAATACATTGATTTTTAAAGATAATTTGATGTTTTCTCTGGACTAATATGATCTTATTTATTTACAAAATTATATCTTATTAAAGAAAAATATCATTATAACTATTTTCTATTTTTTCATAGGATGATATCAATATTTCTATTAATTGTCAATTTAATTTCTTAAAATTATAGATTTTCATAATGTATTTTTTTTCAAAAGGATTCTAGGTATTTTTTTTGATTCCAAATTACATGTAATCTCTAAACATTTTCTGTCATACGGCTGCTGCTGCTGCAGGAATATAGAACCTAATTTTTGTGAGAGTCTCTCTCTAAGATTTTTGCACATTCATTTTTGATTTTATAGAGTTTCAAAAATTTAAAGAATGATCTTTCAATATATAGACATTTTATAAATTAATATATAATATAAATGTATTATTGAGAACTTGGTTTTGCATATAATTTTTTCTGTAAATATTTACTCCATGTTCATTCTTCATCAAAATCAATTTTAATGTCTGGAACCAAAATAGTTTGTAAACTATTAAAGTTTATGTATGATATGTATATGTATATGTGCTTTCATTTTGTTGAAACATTTATTTAATTAAAATGATAATAATTTTTTGCTTGAAAAATAGTCTAAATATTCTTCTATGCTTTCAAACTTGAATTTTTACTCTAGTTTTAT